GGCGGCGGCGGCGGCGGCAACCAGAAGGGGAGAGGGGGTGGCGCGAAGGCTGGCGGCGGCGGCGGCGGAGGCGGCGACGACGATGCGGGTAGCATGCGCAGTCTCTGTTTCCGGTGCGGCAAGAAGGGCCGCCAGGTGGCGGACTGCACCGAGAGCAAGCCCATGCGATGTGAGACATGCAAGGGCTACGTGCACGATAAGAGCAAGCGCCCGACGGAGGGGGCGGTGCTCGTGGTGAAAGTGCCGACGGGGGGGGGCGTATGCGAACGCCACGGCACTGGACATGGCAAAAGAGGCGCTGTTGGTCGATGGCATCTCAGGCGAGTGTCACAAAGTCGTTGGTCGAGGGGGTGTAGAGCAGGCTAGGCGGGGTAGGTATGTTGCCGATACCGGCGCTACCACCCACATGTTCGCGAACTCAGATGGGTTCGTTCGTTACGAAGAGTGTGATCGACGTGTGCGCGTCGCCGCCGGAGAAACCTTCCCTATCGTAGGGTATGGCGACGTGACGGTAACCCTTAGCTCGCGCGACGGTACAACCGACCTGTTGTTGAAACGGGTTGCACACGTCCCCCGACTAGACTACAACCTAGTATCTCTCACTTCCCTCTTCGACGATGGGTTCGAAACCAAAACCCTCAATAAACACGAGTTGGAATTGGAGAGAGGGGGGGGGAGTGGGTGTACTTCCCCCGATGCTGTAACCTGTAGGTCCAAAACGGTTTCCGCACACACACCGAACATGCCTCTGCCGCAACTGCTCCTCGCAACGCGAAAGCGTCCAGCGCCCCCGTTGACATCAACGATTTCCACTGCGCGCACGGCTACTCCCACGAGGTGCTGCTCAGGACCACGGCGAAGCAGCAGGGGACGACGCTGGTGGGCGAGCCCCGGGAGTGCCTGGGGCGCTCGACGGCGAAGGGACTTTCCAAGCCCATCCCCAACAAGAAGTCGACCCGAGCAGCTAAGATACTGCAGCGAGTCATCGTGGATTTGAGTGGAAAAGCTAGGGTGCAGAGCTTGGGGGGGAAGCGGTACACACTCATTCTCAAGGATGATTACACAAGGTTGAACCGTATCTATTTCCTGAAGCACAAATCAGACGCAGCTGAGGCATTCGAGAGGTACCTTACCGAAAACCGGGCAGACGGTGCCCCGTCCGATGTCATGGTCGTGAGATCTGACAACGGAGGAGAGTTTTTTGAGGGAGAGTTCGGCAGGGTGTGCCGGAAGTACTGCATCAAACAGGAGTTCACCCCCGCGCACAGCCCAGAATACAACGGTGTAGCTGAGAGAGCACTGGGTCTGATCAAGGATGTAGCACTAGCCGCCCGTCTCCAAGCGCCAACTCTTTACCCCGGAGCACCGAACTACTCCTCCCTTTCGACCGAGGCCATAGCTTGGGCATGCAACGCCCTGAACTGCACCTCCACCACATCCAAACCAGAGAATAATTCGCCGTACGATATGTGGCACGGGCACCCTCCCCCGCCGAGGGCGACGTACCCGTTCCTCAAACCTGCCGTATACAGGGTCAAGCGCACGCACAAGTCCGAGCCGAAAGCCCAAACGAGTTTTCACCTCGGTCCTGGGTTCAACACCAACCGTGATTGCTTGCGCATCTTGAACGAACAACGCCAAGCGATCACAACTCGCAACTTCACCTGGCAATCCGTACCCGCTGCCCCCACCGTCCTGCCCCAGTCGCTGCCTCCCATCGCAGAGGAGGACGAGGAATTCGCGACTGGGGAGGACGAGGTTGGGGAGGACGCATCGAGCCAAGGTGGAGGGAAGGCGGAGGGAGAACCTGTGGATAGAGGACCAGGTTTCAACCTTGACACGACGGCAGCAACGGGCGGCGCCGCCGCCCGCGCCCTAGGAGTCGGGTGCGGGTGACGCTGGCGATGGCGCCCCCTCGAACAGGGAGGGCGCAAGCGTCGCCCCATCTACCACGTCGGCCGGCATGACCGATGTGGGCGGCGCGTGCTGCTGCGGCGGCAGCGGCGGCAGCGGCGGCGACAGCGGCAGCAACAGAAGCAGCAACAGCGGCAGCAACAGCGGCAGCGACAGCGGCAGCGGCAGCGGCAGCGACAGCGACAGCGACAGCGAGACGGATCTCCCGGCGCTCCGCGGGCCAGAGGCCCGGCGGCTCGCCCGCTTCGACAAGCCGGCGGAACTCACCAGCCGCCGCACCAGGGAGAACCCTCGCCGAAACCCGTGGTACGAGTCGCCCCCGTTGCCGATGAGTGCCGAAGCCCTGCTCGCCTCGGTGGCGAGCCTGCCCGTCAGCAGCCCGGAGGAGTTCACCAGCTGGATGCTCTCGGCGGTACTTCACGTGGCGGAAGGGCTAGAGGCAAGGGCGGTGCGAGTTTTGCTGTTCGAGCGCGCGGATGAGGCCCACGCTGCGCGCCAAGAGGCGGAGGACTTCCTGCTGGGTGCGGTGGACCTCATGCTCGACTCACCAGACGCCTTCGAGACGACTCTGGCGTCCCACAAGCTAAGTGAATCCCCCATTGGCAAGCGTCCGAGTGATGTAACCCCCCCCCCCCATGACCGTGGCCGGCGTTGCCAAGTCTGTGTACAGAGAGGGGTGGGAACAGGCCNAGGCGCGCCAGAGGAGCGGAGGCCTGTGAGCTCAAAGTGGTGTTTCAGTTGGAAGACCAACAAGGAAGGGAAGATAAAAAAGCTCAAAGCGCGTCTGGTTGCTAGGGGGTTTTCGCAAATCCCGAACGTCGATTATTTGCATTCGTCTTCCTCTTGCCCATCACCCGCATCCTTAAGCTGATGCTTGCGGTAGCAAACGGGAAGAGCATGAACCTCAACCACTGGGATGTGAAGCAGGCGTACACACACGCCACGCTAGACGA